TCATAAACATTCGTGCACCACATACAGAGGTACCGAATTTCATAAAAGAAACTTTATCAATGCTACAGACATTTAAAGAATAGCCCATGAAAGGCAAAATAATACACTTTCTTCTCAGCAGTCGATGGAACTTTCTCCAAAATTGATCACATATTAGGACACAAAGCAAATCTCCACAAATTTAGTAATATCATCCTGTATTCTACCCAACCACAAAGGAAAAAAGAAGGATATCAACAACAGTAAAAATGTAGAAAAGTACACAGATTCATGTAAACTACACAACACAATATAAATGAAAAATGGGTCATGAGTGAAATCAAGAAAGAAATTTAAAAATTCTTAGAATTGAGTGAAAATGAAAACACAACATATCAAAACCAAAATTGATAGCTTTAGGAGCACACACCAGGGAATTAAAAACATCTCATATAAATAAAGTATACACCGGAAGACCTTGTAAAACCAAGAAGAAACAGCACCTAAAAAGAGTAGATGGGAAGGAATAAATGAAATCAAGGCTGAAATTTATAAAATAGAAACTAGAGATGATGTAAACAATACAAAGAATCAAGGAAGTGAAGAGTGAGTTATTTGAAAAGTTTAAGATCGACAAACCTTTAGCCAAATTAACCAAAGGAAACACAAAGAGAGAGAGAGACAGAGAGAAAGAGACAGAGAGACAGAGAGAGAGACAGAGAGAGAGAGAACCCAAATGAACAAACTTAGACTTGAGACAGGATGGGCTGCCTAGACTCCAGTGGACGCATTTACACTGAATGATGTTTGGTACAAACACCTGAATGAATAAGACTCAGCATGTATGGCAGAGTGCATAGGGTTTGGTGGAGAGGTGGGGGAGGCATGGATGGGGGAGGGTCTGGATTTGAGTGGGAAATGTACAAAATTTTAAAAGATCAATAGAAACAAGGGAGAAAAACCCCATGCATTCCACTAAACCAGAACATCTACAGCAGAAACACTTCTAGGTGTGCGTAGCCTAAAATTAAATCAAAATGATATAAATTATTTAAGCAGACACATAACAACCAGTGAGATAGATGCAGTGATTTAAGATCTCCCAACGGAATAGAGCCCTGGGACCAGGATACAGTGCAGAATTCTACCAAACCTTTAAAGAAAAACTAACACCCATATTTCACAAGTTTTTCCATGAAATAGAAAACGAAAGAACACTCCAAAATTATTTCTATAATGCACTTACTTCTCTAAAACAAAACCATACCCAGACTCCACAAAAAAACAAAATTGTCGGCCAATTTTTCTGGTGAATATAGATACAAAAATTCCTCCCCAAAAATTTGTAAACAGAATGGAAAACAAATCAAAAAGATTATCCACCTTGATATAGTTGACTTCATCCCAGGGATGCAGGGATGCTTCAACATACATAAATCAATAAATATCTGTCCTCAGGAGTAAAAACTATATGATCATCTTAGTAAACATTAATAAGGCCTTTGATAAAATCAAATATCCATTCATGATACACGTTATGGAGAATCTAGGGACACAGAGGACATATCTGCACATAATAAGGCAATATACAAAATCCCTACATCTAATATCATATTAAATGGAGAAAAATGGAAAGCATTCCCATTAAAATCAGGACGAAGACATAGATGTTCTCTCTCTCCATTGCTGTTCAATATAGGAATTAAAGCCTTAGCTAGAACAATAGGACAAATGAAGAAGATAAAGAGGATACAAATTAGAATGGAAGAAGTCAAAGTGTCCTTATTTGAAGATATGATTCAATACATAAAAGACCCTAAAGACTCCTCCAGAAAACTCTCAGAACAGATAAATACTCTCAGCAAAGTGGAACTATAAAATTAACACCTCCAAATTGTAGCTTTCCTGTTTATCAACATCAAATATCCTGAAAAGATATCATGCAAATGATCATGACAGCCACAAAAACCTTAAAATATCTTGGGATAAATCTAACCAAGGAAGTAAAGAAGTTGCATAACTAGAAAATGAAATGATGAAAGTCACAGGTCAATGGATGGAACTGGAAACTCATCCTGAGTGAGGCAACCCAGACCCAGAAAGACAAGTGTTACATGTTCTCTCTCATAACTGGATGCTAGCTTTGAAGTCCTAAATATGCATGTTTCAATTTCAAAATCCAGAGAAATCAGAAAACTAATAAATGACGATGATGGGCGGCTTTGGGGGGTGGAGATAGACTACAGGGATATAAAGCTATGCATGTTTCAATTTCAAAATCCAGAGAAATCAGAAAACTAATAAATGACAATGATGGGAGGCTTTGGAGGGGTGGAGATAGACTACAGGGATATAAAGTGGGAAGGGTAATAATAAAGTAGGAACTGTTCAATGGCTTTGGGCATTGGAGTGTAGGGCACATTAGGGACTGTGTGGAGGGAAAACCAACACTAAAATCCTTTTAAGAAATGCCAAAGGGAAACCTACCACTATAGAAATTTCTGAAAGTATATACAAATAATACAAAAAGAAATTAAAAGGAGTTACCGTATAACAGGGAGACATTGCCCCTGCCAGGTGTCATAGGCTAACAAAATCAAAGCCCAATGGCAGGAATGGATTCCCTCTTCTGAAGCTGTTAATCAGGATCCCACAGATCCTCAGCCGATACTGGTCATTGCCCTGCTCTTGTTTACTGACCAAAATTGGACAGTAAAACCCTATTACTGAAGACACTACATACATGAGCTGTAGAACAAACAAAGAGAAATCAAGCTGATGCTGATGTCAAAGACTCATCCCCATTGGCTAGATTTCATAGAGCTGGTAGATGCTATGTGTGCTAGCAGAGGAGAAAATTAATCATCAACCTTACCCAACTGTGAATTCTGCGAACTATAACAGCTGACCTGGCCGGATATGCCCACTGGTTGGCATAGTGGTACAAATATTATGGGAGGAAGCAACCACTTACTAATTGGATTTCAGGTCCACTTCATAGGATGGAGCCCATACCTTACATTGATATCAGACCTCAGAACCCAAGGCTGGACATGTCACAGGACATATCGGAAAGCCCAATACTAGATTTCTGCTAAATAGATAGAGTATTAAATTGATTCCTAGTAACTTATTGTTCTACCCACAGAATAATGCATGTCTCAGCTTAACCAGACAAGCTTCCTTATGCAGCACATGGTGCACAGATACCCACAACTCACCAATATGCAGAGAACAAGAGGCTGCAGACTGCTTATCCATGAGTTGGACACCTGTATAAAACTTCTGCCTCCCAAGGGTCTGGGATTATTGTGGAACAGGGTGGGGAAAGACAGTAAGAGCCAGAAGTGGTGGATGATCACAAGCAAAGAGTTTTCCAGACAGCTGGTCCACTACTCATATGAACTCATTACAATGGTGACAGCACGCAGAAGTCCCATGCACGTTCAAACCTGACAAAATCCCAGCACAGACATGGGGAAGTTGCTACCCCATCCCTACTTAAGTAACTTTTGGTAACGGATGGCTGCAGGGGGGGAACAGTGAGTCTCTTTCAAGCTTTGTGACTCTTCATAAGCTAATCAGGCTTGTGTGGATTGACTCACAGTGAAGGACATTTGCAAACACATTTTAGACTCTATAGCCATATATAGTATCTATATGTTAAGGTCCATTAAATTGGGCAGCAGGCATGATAGAGAAGAGGTTCAAAATATCAAAATACATTGCAAGGAATTTACAGAAATTCAACTTAAAAACTTCCCCTTTTAAGATTAATTTTCATTTTAAATTATTAGTATATGTGTATGGTCATGTGCACCTGTGAGTGCAGGTGCCCAAGCAGTCCAGAGGAGAATGTCAGGACCCATGAGCTGCAGATATAGACTGTAGTGAGCTGCCAGGCATGGGTACTGGAAAGTTAAATTGGGTCCCCTGCAAGAGCAGTATGTGCTTTAACCACTGAACCATCTCTCCAGTCCCCAGTTAAGGAACTTTAAACATCACTTGTCACCAGAAATGAGAATAGAATTCTAGGACTCTACAGTTCTATAATGTTACATTACTTAGTGAGCAAGTGTAGACATCCATGTTTTCCCAGGAGTCTGTACAGAGTGTACAGTTGGTAGACTGAAGCCTAGGACAGGTGGGGGGGACAGGGCAATTGGGAGACATTTTGACTTCTACACAGTGTAGTGCATGCACTGTCTGAAGACTGAAACAAGGCATCATGAAAGTTTGCCCAGTTGCAAGTGCCACGTGTGGCCTGAGACAAATCCCTAGTGATGGAAAACCCAAAAGCCAAAATCAATCGAGAGATGACTCCCACATCTGGGAGTGGAGGAACCCTAGTGGAAACCATAAATACCACGGGTCTCCAGAATTTTTGCAGAGCTCAGATTCTGAACCCTGACGAAGGAAAGTCCTGATTCTCCTGCATGGAACACAAGTTGGCTCAGGTGTCTGCTTTGCTTGTATGGCGTCTGTTTATAGAGGCCATGAACATTTTTGGATATGAGTCAGATTCTGTTTCCTTTAAGACTGTACAGACTAGAACAACCTTATCACCCATATTCAAGATCAAGAACTTGTTCCTGTAAATAAACCTGGTTTCCTGGGGTTCTAACCAACATAGCAACCTAGCTAAACCACAGAATTAAGTTTGCCCCTAGAGCCTAAGGGCTCTTCAACTGCCGTTTTTGACCAGGTTTACAGTACCCAAGCATGAGTGCCTTCTTGTGCTGTAGGCCTCTCATGCAGTCTTATAGTAGTTTCTTGCTCCCATAATATCCATGCCATGTAACACTAGTGGACACATCGTACCTGGCAAGTCGGTATTCAAATCACAATGTCCACAGCAAGAGAAGACTTGCCACGTTGTCTTCCTCAGCAGCCTGTGAAGGACCTTCCGACACTATGAAGGCTATTTATTAAGAAAGAAGCTTTCAGCCCAGACCCAGCTTCATTTCTTTGTAACTTGAGCCAAGATATGGTGTCTGAAGACACAGGGTTTTATGAACGAGCCCTGGTGAGCAGTTTCCCTGGCTCTATATTCTAGCTCTCTCGTTTATCTCTCCATCCATCTTGCTGTTGATCCCACCCCCTGAGACGTTTACCTCATTTTAGCTTCTAGGATCCATTTTCTTGGTATTTATTTCCTTTCTTTCTTTGTTGAGAACTTTTTGTTTTATTTTCTTTTGATTTTTCACGTAATGTCATGATATATAGTCTAGGGACATCGAACTGATTATTGGAGATAGAGAGTATATTAGAAGACTAATTGATACATTGGACACACAGGGAGACAACACCATGGCAGAAATTTTGAAGAGTTCAGGACCCAGCACGGACTCAGCATGGCAGGGATTCTAAAAGGAAATCAGGGCTCACCAGCAGAAGTAGGACTCTCTTGTTTATTTTTATGCAGATGGGGATGGCTCCACAGAACAAGCCCACAGCCAGACTCTGATTCCCAGGAAGGAGGTAGGGAAAAGGGTAGGGAGCAGGATGTGTGGCCACAAATATCTTTTTGATGTAAAGTCACTTCTTCAGATCAGAAATTTTGGGACCTGGAAGTGTGTTAGCTAGAGATTCACAGTGTCTAAGTCGGTGCCTGTGGGTAGTTGGACAGGGGAGGGTTACTGCAGGGGTTGTGGTCTGTGTAGCAGCTGTACTCTAACATTACAGCCTTGCCGTTGGCAATTGTTTCTCAACCCTTTTGTTTGAGGAGGTACAGTTCTCTTCAAATTCGAATTGACTAAATTGACTAGTGAATTTATTTGTTGTTAAACGTAAATGATATTTTACATTGCATCACCTAGACAAATTTCCTCATGTTTGAAAGTTGATCAGGCTTCGGTGGATGAACTCACACCAAGGGACATCTGAGAACACACTTGACTTGATAGACCTTAAAGTATGTGACAAAATGCATGAAACTCTGTCGGTGGGACTTCTAGGGGGTACAGTTAGGGGAAGGAGTCTAAATATTAAGAAATCATTTGTGAAACATAGAAACATTCAATAAGGTAGAAAAAACACAATGTAACCTTGCATAAGGAATCCTAATATCTGTATAGCTAGATTTCCTCAGGAAAAAATCATCAATACGGTTATTGTCACCTACTGTTATATTAAAGACACTCTTTTGTAACAAGAAGTTGAAAAATAATCCAAATATTTTTCGTTAGGAAACTATGAAGATTTTTAATATGCGCTTAATGAAACAGAAGCTTCAAAGTCCTTTACTAGAACATGACCAAGACTCAAAGGAGAGTCCAGCAATGTGTTCACATGGACTTGTCTCATACTGTTTTTAAAAAGTAAAATATTTTGATGATTATTCTTCTCCCAATTCCCCTTTATTACAATTTTGTCAGCTACGATAAAGTGGCAATAAATATTTTCTATCTATCTGAGGCGAATTATTGACTAGGATTAATTTACGTGACCCTCAGACAATCTATACAGCTAGGTATTGATGTCAAGATTTCATAGCATTGATTCGTCACATACTACAAAGGAGGCAGGGGCAACCACAGAAACATTTTTCATGAAGGGATAAGAGTCCATCTGGCTGGAGCCAGGGCAGCAGAACTGGCCAGAGCAGAAAGCAGAGCTCTCACATTTTCAAGCAGGGGCAGGAAGCAGAGAGAGCTGCTCAAAATAGAGCAAGGCCAAAGTCCACACTCTCAGTGCTGTGCTTCCTCCAGCAAGGCCACATCTCCTACAAAGTTCCATGACCATGCCCAGCAGCTCCATCAACTGACCAAGGGTTCAAATACTTGGAGCCTATCGGGGACATTCCAATACAAACCACCACAGACTTAGAGAAATCAAAGTTAAACCGAGCTGGACGCTTCCTCTCTTCCAGCTAGGTTTTGCTGTTTTAGAATGTGCTGTATAGGCTGCTGGAAAACGACTTACAGTGTTATTAAGCTGTGGGACTCTGAATCCTACAGTACTGACCTACCAAGAAAGATGTAGAAGTAGAACATATTATGTGTTACTCCTGGGATTAGGCTATATTCCTAAGAAAGGAAATATGATTTTGTGTAAGTAACAGAGTTCCTAATCAGTTTAGCATATGTTGAATTTAATTTTGAGCTCACCCAAATTGGAATCATCTGTAGCAAACCTGCTATAATCATGTTTCTTAATATATTTTCAACAATTCTTTCTGGCTCCATACCTCTTAATTGGCTCCTCATATTTAGTGTTCCAGTGGGGAGAAAAAAAGGAAACCCAGTCTATTCCTAGCGAAATCAATCAGAATTTTTATTCAAGTTGCCTTGTGACGATGTTTTATAGAACTTTAGTAATATCGTATCATGCAATTTTCTGAATACTATGTTGTTTCTGGTACTTGTTTTAAAATTGATAAAGATGCTGTCATTTTCTTACCCCAAAAATTTTTGTCCATTTTAAGTTCATAATTTTATATTCCTATAAATTTCACAAGTTTTATACCATAGAAAGCATAATTCTATCTTGGTGTATGATCACTGTGCTTTGAAAATCAACCTGAGAAGGGCATCTAAGAATGGGAAGTTCACTGTAATTGTAATTTTCTTATTTCTCAATTTGGTCCCTAGAGGACACAGTTGTATAAAGAGGAAATGGCTTTTCCACTGATTAGAATAAGCTAAAAAATAGAATTTTAAAACCTCTGACTGTCAATCCCTAGTCTTAACACCTGGGCTATTGGGAGGACATTTTAAGAAAATTCTTTCCTCCCTGTTTAAGTTCAGTGTATTCTCTACTTTCCTCCTCTGCCAGATTCATGGTATCAGGTCTTACATTGCAGTCCTTGAACCATTTGGAGTTGTGTTTTGTGCAGGGTAAGAGATAAGTTCATTTTTCAAAATGTAGCTATCCAGTTTAACCAGCACCCTTTGACAACATGATTCAAATGAAAAGCATCCTACAGAATGGGAAAAACGTCTTCACCAGATATGTGTCTGACAGAGGGTTAGTATGTAGAACATGCAAAGAACTCAAAATGCTAAATATAAAAAAAAAATACTGACGAAACGAACTAATGATGGAGTTTTCAAAAGATGAAATGCAAATGACTGAGAAATATTTTAAACAATGTTCATCATCCTTAACCATCAGGGATGTGTGACTTAGAACTAAGCTGAGACTTCATCATACCCCACTCAGAATGGCTAAGATCTAAAACACACATGATGACAAGTGCGGGCTAGGATGTGATGAAAGGAGAACTCCATCATTGCTGATGGGAGTGCAAACTGGTGGAGCCGTTTGAAAATCAGTATAGGTTCCTTAAAAAGCTAAAAATAGACCCATCATGTGATCCAGTCATACTGCTCTTGAGCATACACCAAAGGACTCTATATCCTACTACAGAGAAGCCTGTGAATCTATGCTCATTGCTGCTCTACGCATGATAGCAGGAAATGGATACCACCGCCAAGAGATGACCAGATAATGAAAATGCAGGACATTTGCACAATAAAATATTATTCAGTTATTAAAGAAATGAAGTTATGAGAACACAGGTAAATGGATGGAATGGAAAACAAACATCCCCAGTGAGGTATCCCAGACCCAGAAAGACAAATGTCATATGTTCTGTCTCATATGTGGACACTAGCTTTGAATATTTAGATACAAATGTTTCAATTGGAAAATCAATAGAGATCATGAAACTAGTCAGGGGCCATGGGTGACGGACTTCATGGGACCTGAGATAGAACACAGTGATATCAAGGGAGAAAGGGGACAATAATCTTAAAACTGTAAATGTATTATTTTCAAAACCTTCTTCTCAGCCCTACCTCCTATCTCCCTCCGTAAGTACCTGTCCCTTCCCCTTTCCAACATAATGATACCTGGGTTACAGTACCCTAGGCCCTCTTTTAAGCTCTGTGGTCGCCATAATGACCTTTTCTAGTTTCCTGGTTTCGTGGTTGGGGGGGAAGTATGGGGGATTGCTGGAGGAGTTGGAGGGGGGAAGCGAGGGTGGGTATGATGTAATACTAACATTGTACTTCACATATGAAATTACTAAATTTAAAACAAAATAAAAACTTCCCCTCTGCTGCTTACTTCAGAGTTCCACCTGAACATACTTTAAGCAGATGCCAGACATAGGCTAATTGCCTGGACAGTGTCTCTTCCTAACAGTTTGTCCAATGCCCCTGTCAAGAAGGTATCTAAATCCCCTCAGCTCAAGACAACCTCTGTCCACCCTTGCAGTCTTCAGATATTATTCATTTGCTGGAAATCTCTCAGCTTATTGTAACCTTGGTGTGCACCCAGAGGCTTGTAGCACCCCACGACTCGCTGAGTGCCATTCTCCCGTTAGTCCCTTTTCCACAGATGGAGCACTGTGTGCTTTCACTCAGACCACAGACCCTCCTATAAGTTGGGTTAACACACGGCACTGATGTTGCACTGATGATGTCACTGTCTGTGCAGCAGCTGCTCTTTATCTGAGATTGCTACTCATCTCTGTCCCACAGTGTCTGTTTCTGTACCCTAGCCCAGGGCTCCAACACCCCCTGAAGCACACATCAGGTACTAAAAGCTTTCAGACTCAAGAAGGAAAACTCCTTCCACCTGGGGCACCCTCTGATCAGGGGAGTGAGGCAGCCCAGTGCCCCTGTGCCTAGTCACCCAGTGCAGAGCTGACCACAAACCACCTGAGGCAGCCAAGTGCTCCTGTGCCCTGAGTCACACAATGCACAGCTGAGCAGAAGACACCCAGCCGTGCAGGATCCCAGCCTCAGTTATACTCAGAGGGTTGGCATGTTCTGTGAAAGCCAGCATGCAGAGAAAGTGGAATCTTGGGAGACACTTAACTCTTACAGAGAAGGATTTTAGATCCTATCTCCTTGTTTGTTATTTCACAAAGGAAATATCTGCTTCTTGAAGGACAGGATTCTTACCCAAAAGTTAAAACGATGCCAAAATGAGGCTTCAAGAATCTCTACAAACTGGAAAAGCTGATCGCTCCAATACCATTTAGAACAGTGATGGGCTTAGATGGCATAAAGTTGTCTGTGGGTTATTTCAGGCAAACTCTGCAATTGCTTTACATTATCAATCTCATTCCTCAAACTATCATCTTAATGGTGAAAACTTAAAGTACATTCCTCTTATTTTATGAATGGACAACACGATATTGCTACATGTAGTGTTCCTACAGCACAGCAAAGTACTAGAGCTTCTTGTGCCCAGTGAACTGTAACTCCGGACTCCTTGATTTGTTTTTCCATTCCACCTCCTCTTTATGGGGTCTTTCCACACAATATTTCCCACAAGTCTGGATTATTGCAGAAGTGTCCTAATACACATATCCCAAGAAAAGCACTTCATTAAATCTATGCTACAGAACAATTATGTTCCTGTTACTTTGTCTCCTGGAGTGTCTCTTATTTAAATTGATTCACAGGTCAATATTAAGATTCCTTAGTTGGAACAGCTATTTTCTGAGTTAAGCATTTAGCTACTTTCCTCTGATGCTCCTGAAGCTCTTGTTGGTCCAGCTGAGGCATGTTCCCCTCAGAGGGAGCAGGTCCACTTCATCCTCACGGGCTCCTCAAACCCTTATGAGCCCAGGATCATCTGAAAATGTCCCTGTCCCTCCACTGTGCACCTCTCAGCAGACTGTCATGCAGGTCTGGGCTGGGGAGGAGCTGCAGGCACAGGAAGCTGTGGAAGCTCAGCAGTGTCTGGCCTGGCTGGGTCTGTGGGTGGAGCTGACTGACTGCAGGAGCAGGGACAGATCCAGAGCCATCCTGACACCACAGCCCAGGCTTTGGTTACACACAGTTCCATCTCTCACAGCCAGAAACACATCATGAAGAGGCTGCTGGGCTCTCTGCTGGGTCTTCTGTGCACCCAGGTTTGCTGTGAGTCGGGCTGCCCCACATTCATGGCGTCTGTGAGGATTATGCAGCTGCAGCACATGGGGGGGGGGGGAGGCGGAGGGAGGAAAAGCATCTCCACGTCCTGCAAAACTTCAGTCCTTCTCATTGTTCGTGAAACATTTTCATGGCTCTGTGGGCACTGCAGTGAATGACCATCATCTGTGACTTTCTCTTTTTCTAATCAGGGATGAAAGGGCAACAAGTGGAGCAGAGTCCTAGAGCCTTGACTCTCCAGGAGGGAGAGAACTGTGACCTGCAGTGCAACCTTTCCACCTCTACCAACAACCTGCAGTGGTTTTACCAGAATCCCCAGGGCCTCCTCATCACCCTGTTTTCCAATCCCTCGGGAACAAAGCAGAGTGGAAGACTAAAGTCCACGACAGACGCTAAGGAACGCCGCAGCTCCCTGCACATCTCCTCCTCCCAGACCACAGACTCAGGCACTTACTTCTGTGCGGTGGACACACAGTGCTCCCCAGACACCTGTAGTCTGAACACAAACTTCAGCTTGGTGGGCGTGGCCCTTCCCCAGTCACGAGAGGGCGGGAAGCCACCAGAGAAGCCTTGCACAGTTTATGTCTCTTTCCTGTGTTGGTAGAGTTTTACCCTCAGATAATTTCTTTGGTCTCAGATTTCAGGTCTTGTTCTTTTTCTTCATCTCAGTGTGTACTCCCTCCTGAAACATGTTGTCCAACTTGGCACTCGCAGAGAAACTGATAGGAGAACGGAATCTACATCGACATTTTAGCTGAACGTAGTGTCCACTCCAAAAGGATAAGGAGCAAATGAAGTCACTCAGATAAAACTGCTGTGGACAGTGATGCAACTAGTTCGTCTCTCAGGCGCATGCAGGTCCTCACCAAGGTGTCCGCAGGCAATGGCTGTCAGTGCAGCAGGGAAACAGTCACTGACTGTGCATTGTTCAACAATGTTAAAATGTATCTTCCCCCCACCTAACTCTTGTTCAAACTCCTGAAGTTCATCTGGACTAGGAGCTGCTCCATCCTGACCATGTCCCCTGCACGGTTGAGAAGAGCGCCCTGATTGGATACAGGTCTCTGAGCGCTCTTTGCTTTGTGGTGCTGTAGACCTGTTCCCTTTCTGCTGTCCGTCCTGCTTTTTCTATTTACTATTGAAGGGAAGTTGCTAAATTATCTGTGTCTGCCTTCAATTCTGTAAGTTTTTGCTTTATGTATTTGGCGGACTGTTATTGGTTGCAGATTTAAGTGTTGTATTTTCCTAATGCATAACCTTTCTTTGGCATTGTTGAAGATTCAACCCAGGGTCTTGTGCATGGTAGAAAACCATTCTTTCACTGAGCTATATCCTAGCATTGACTGTTTCTTTTATATTATTATTATAAATACACCCTCTTTGTCTCTAGTAATGTGTTGTTCACAGTTTAGTTAATCTAATAATATAGCAATTGCAGGTCCTTTGCAGTTGTTATGCAGTATATAAAGTTCCCCATTGTTTTACTTGTATCTTTTGTTGAATAGATCTTGAATGTCCTCAAAATGTTTAAAGCTAAAGGCTTCAGCCCCATAATGGCACTGCTGGGAAGGGGGGCTAGTCTGAGCTCAAAGAAAATTGGTAACATGCCCTGGAAGTGACTTGTAGAACACTGGTCTCTTACTCTTTTTCCCATTGATTGAGACATTCTACTTCCTCTGTATACATTATTCCTTTAAGTATCTTCAGCAGTGTCACCTGGTGGTCATGAACTGCCTTCTTTTATGTTTGTCTTGAAATGTCCTTATTTCTCCACCAGTGGTAAAAGGTAATTTTGTTCAATGTAACAATCTTGGTTGGCAGTTACCTATTTCCAGGACTTGAAATACCTTATTCGTGCTTTGAGGACTGCCAATGAGAGATATGATGTTACTCAGATACTTTTGACTTTTGCATATGTGCGTGTATCACCCTGATAGCTTAATGTCATTCATTTGCCTTGTGTTTTTGACATCTTGACTACAATAGCTCATAGAGAGCTATTTTCTGGTCATATCTATCTTGGGTTTGAAATGCCTCTTGTTTTTGTTTTCTAGATTTTGGAAATTTTCTGCCATAATTCCATTGAATGGAGCCTCTGTGTCATCCGTGTTTGTCTCCTCTCTCTCTTCTCGTCTCTGACTCTCTCTTTGTTGGGTTTCATCGCGGGATCGGCTCCCAGAAGTCTTGTTCATCACGGCATGCTCGTATGTTCCCTTTTCCCTGTTGATGCTTGAGTGCAGCATGTGTCCCCTCTGTCTCTGACTGATGTTCTTTCTTCTGTTTGGTCGAGTCTATTGGTGATGATTTCCACTGATTTTTGATTCATTATGTTTTTTTTCCTTTTTCAACATTTAGTTTCTATTTGTTTCTTTAAAAAACATCTCAATTTCCTTGCTAGATTTTTTTTCCCCTCTGCTGACATTTTATCCACATTGCTGAGTTCATCATAACACTGTGGTCGTTTTCCTCTTTGTAGATGGGTTTCCAGATCATCTGCTTCTCTTCTCTTTCAGGTGATTGATCATTTTAACAGAAATCTTTTAAAGTCTCCATCTGACATGTATCTATTTCAGTATCTTTGAGTCTCTAGTTCAGTTATGGACTTTTGGAAGAGCACTGTTACCTCATTTCCTCTTGTGCCCTGCGATGCTCTGCTGTGATTTCTGTATCTGTTGGTCTGGGTATCTCTTCCTGTCTGGAGTGTGTGGTCTTATCAATCATCCTACACTTGAAGGCTCAAGTCCAACATCACTCCAGGAGGAAAAAACAAACTTCCACAGCAGCAAGAACACCAAGCCATAAAAGATATAGAACTGTCCAGGTAGGTGGCTCCAGAATTTGATCCACCTCTGGCCTCGGGCTCAGAACTATCAAAAACCAAGATTTTTCTCAGTTGACTAGATCACTTCCAGAGCACTGACGGTGAGGCTATTGATCCCTATGTACTTCCCAGCCCGAGCAGATTATTCTATCTGTATCTTTGACTCAGGGTACAACCCACTTGCTCTCCGCACCTGCCACTCTGGCCCCACCCCCACCTTGTGGCTAAAGCTAAATTGAGGCTTCTGGACTGGTCGTTGTTCCCTAATCATAGTCCCCCACACTGAGTAGCACAGTTCCTTTTAAAATTATATTTATATATTATTATTATTATTATTGTGGGGAGGTGTGCTTCAGCAAGCGTGAGGATCTCATGGACAGTCTGCTCTCTCCTTCTACCATGTTTGTCCTGAGGATTGAACTCAGATCATCAGCCTTGGTGGCAAGTGCCTTTTACCACAGAGCCATCTCACTGGTCAGGTAGCACAGTTTTTAACAATAGATTCTCTTTAGTTAGTACCTGTTTTGTCCTCTGAGCCATACAGTATGGTAAAATGGGATTTCTCTCCACCACTGGCCTGTGGGGACGAGGAACGAATCTCTGTCCCACCAATCCCCACACTGGTTCCAGGCTTGTTATTGCTGTAGACTTGTCTGAAGGTAGGGCTGCCTTCTGCCTGCACTGCCTTTTACAAGTTACATCTGTGCTACCCCTAACTTCCCAGGGGGATAACTGCATGGCTGAGGCTGAGGCTGTTAGGGTTACTTCTCAGAGCACTCTCTCTCTCTGTCTCTCTCTGTCTCTCTCTGTCTCTCTCTTGCTCTCGCTCTCTCCCTGCTCTCTCCAGGTGTCCTTTAGCTTCCTTCATAGATTCCTGAAGCTCTTCCTCTCTTTGGGATAAAGTCTAATTTTTCCTTATTTTTACATGTCTTCACCTGCTCACACAAGGGCATTTCAGGTCTTTATTTTTATCTAGAAGTCTTCAGTTTACAAATTTTTTTTTTTAAAAAGTGTTCTGGAATTATTGGAGATATATCATTGAATTTATGATACACTTTTAGTAAATTAAAGCTCTCAAATCTTCTAGCACATT